CGCTACATGCCATACGCATTCCACCCCAACTTCCTTCGCCTCACCACCCCCCCGGACACAACCATCGACATCATCCATCTCCCATATCCAACCTCCCAAGGCTTCATCACCCCGCACCAATTCCTCCACACGGCTTGCCTAAACCTCGACTCCGCCTACTACTGTCTTGTCCTTGATCGCGAAAGTCCTGAGGACTTACTCCCGACGGACAAACCCGATCAAGCCCTCCCCTCCAACCCCGCCATCACCTAAATCCTCGATGAGTTCAAGGACGTCTTTCCTGAGTCCTTACCGGTCGGACTACATCCGGATCGTGGCGTATCCCATACCATCGATTTGGAACCCGGACATTGTCCACCTTGCCGCCCTCCATACCAACTCTCCACCTTGCCGCCCTCCATACCAACTCTCTACCCCCGAAGCCGAAGAAGTGAAGCGGTAACTCAGTGAACTCCTTGAAAAATGGTTCATTAAGCCAAGTTCATCCCCCTTCGTAACCAGCTGCCTTTTCGTCAAGAAAGGTGGAACTTCGGAACTCCGCATGTGCACAGACTTCCGCGCCTTGAACCGGATCACGATCAAGAACAAGTACCCCCTACCTCGAATTTTCGAGCTCCTTGATCGTCTCCGTGGAGACAAGTACTTTACCAAGATCAACGTTCACAGTGGCTTCCACCAGATCTGTATCCGCAAGGAGGACACCCACAAGACCGCCTTCCGCTCTCGCTTCGGGCACTACGAGTTCCTATGGATGCCATTAGGACTCACCAATGCCCCCGCTAGCTTCCGATCTACCATGAACCACATCTTCCGCAACCTCCACGAAGTCTGTGTCGTCGTCTACCTTGATGGCATCCTTGTCTTCAGCCCCACCTTCGGCACCTCCGCCAAGTCCTCCCGATCCTCCGAGAGCAAAAATTCTACACCAAGCTCATCAAATGTACGTTTGCTGCTTCGAGTGTCGAATACCTCGGCCACATTGTCTCCGCTGAGGGCATCCGTATGGATCCCTCGAAGGTCACAGCCGTCGTCGAATACCCCCCACCCAAGCCCTTCTCCAACTTCGTTCCTTTCTTGGCCTTGCCAACTACCATCGCCCGTTCATTCGCAACTTCTCCGAGATCTCTTACCCCCTCCACGAACTCACACGCAAGGACGAGCCCTTCACTTGGAACGATCGCAGCCAGCACGCCTTCGATCTACTCAAACAAACCATCACCACGGACCCCGTCCTCAAGATCGCCAACCCCACCCACCACTTCTACGTCACCACTGACGCCTCCGAGTTCGCCATTGGAGCCGTACTGTCCCAACATTTTCCTCGTGACACCACCAAAGTCTGGCGCACGAACCTCGACGGGCAATATACTTCACCATCCACACTGACAACACCATCGTCTCCTCCATCCTTTCCAAGAAAGACGTCACGCCACACCAAGCCCGCTGGTTAGACTTCCTCGCCCAGTTCACATTCACTATTTGCCATACCCCTAGCAAAAGCAACCGCGTTGCTGATGCCCTCGCCTAGCCTTGTCCCATCTGTCCTCTCCAATACCTTGTCTCTCTCGTCCAATGCTTGTGGACCTGCGTGACATCGGCGATAAAGGATCTAATGGCAAGCGCACGAGGACGATGGCCTGCTGCCCCACTGTTCATGGAGATTATGCAGCTGGTTTGGCCACCATGCTGTTTCACCGGTTGGTATCCCGACTCGCAGACTTACTGGAGCAGCAACTTGCGACATGGATACTTGCATCAGTCTGCGACTTACCTGCTTCCAGATCAGACCTCATTGCAGTTCATGTACCGGACGCACCCTAGCACTTGGACTTTGGACATGTGGACTACTGCTACGCTGCTTGAACTTCTACCCGTTGCAGCCACTGGAGACCGCTTCCACCACCTACTCCAAAACCTGATCAAGCCCGCTGCAGACCTCCTTCCAAGACACTCAGACACTTTGTTCCCACATGAGATGTTGCTTCTTTGGACACAACCAGCCCTTGCATCCTGAACAAACATTTTCATTTTATTTCTTTTTTTCCTTACCGACTTTGACAACCCTGTAGAACATCATTAGCAATACCCTGTTTTCCTAAACACCGTTTCCCTTACCCAGTAGAACATCAATAGAAGTTCACTGTTCACTGAACTTCGTTCCCCCTTAACCTATAGCAAACCATGCAGTCCCCTTAGTTCATCGGGACTACCCTGCTCCCTGCCGTCCCTTTTGTTCATTTGTAGGACTACCCTGTTCCCTGCAACCCCCCCTAGTTGATCAGTAGGACAACCCTGTTCACCGGTACCAAACCCTGTTCCCTCTTACTCCCGCAGCCCATGCGACCCACATTATACCCCTCTTCCCTTTCGAATTGTTAACCAGTGATCGGCCCCATCCCACCTTCACAGATTTCAGCATTGCTTCATGATTTTTGGCAGCCGGGATGTTGCCTTCTAGAGGGACGGGATAAGTGTTACGGACTACACCAGGGCTCGATCCTGGTCCGCGGGCCGCAGTTCACTGCACACATTTTCTTTTCTTTGTTTTCTTATTCTTATTTTTCTCTTTGTTTTATTTTTCTGATTTCGGACACTTGGCGCCATCCGGCATTCTGGCGCCCATTTTCAAACTTTCGATTTTCAGTTCAGCCCTGGGCAAATCGCACTTCTGTCCATCGGACAGTACTTGAGTCCGATACTTAAGATCGGACCGAAGCCCAATACGGCATTGAGTTTGCGACCTCAGTGCTTGTGCTTCGGTGTGACTTGCTTCAACATTGTGTTCGGAAATCCAAGACTTCGACTTTGCGACTTTGCCACTTCGTGTCTGCGTCCGCCAAGTCGTGTCGAGTCTGTGTCGAGTTGAGTGGGTGTGTGTGTGTGCTCTCACTCTCTCCCTCTCTCTCCCAGCCTCGTTGCCTCAGCCCGGCAGAGCCTTCCGCATCAGCCCACAAAACTGACATTTACCAAAAACAAACAAATATAACAGCATTGGCATTCCCAACATTCATCTCCAACTACACACTCGCGTCACTGCCAAAGAGGAGGAAGAAGATACGGGACAACTTACCTAAGACAGAAGTCTCCTCCAGCAAGAACGCAGTGACCCCCCCTGTTAAGGGTCCGAAAAAACTGGGAAACCCTTCGACGCTGACCCACAATACATACATTCCCCTCAAAAGAGAACTCGTGGCCGCCTGTAAACATCCAAACAGCCCATGCTCTAAAGCAGGGCAAAGAATTATGTCGTGTATAATCAACAAAACCGACAAGACATATCTAATGTCTGTGTGTGTGTGTATGTATGTATGTATGTATGTATGTATGTATGCATGTATGTAGGTACACAGGTAGGTAAGTAGGTAGGTTCAAAGGTACATAGGTAGGTAGGTAGGTACGTTCGTACGTATGTATGTATGTATGTATGCATACATACATACATACATACATACATCATACATACATACATCCATGATACATACATACATACATACATACATACATACATACATACATACATATACATACATTCATGCATACGTGCATACATACCTTTGCACATACATACATACCATACTTGCGGCGCAGCGCACGTGATGCGGCGCATCACCAAAAAAATAAAAAATAAATAAAAATTGAAAGGACAGGGTGGGGTGGCCAAACATCCCCCTCGCTTTTAAAAATCAGAAAGCAAGAGGGACAAACTCCGGGGCCACGCCATACCCCAAAACTGTGGGCACATGTCTATACATGTGAGTATTCCTGTTTTAATTGTGTCCAGCCTCTTTTCCGAAGGGCCCCTACAG